CTGATGTATATGGATTATTCATATCGTATCTATTATTAATAGAAAGTATAGTTGGCTAAGACACACACATTCATTCGAAATATATTTAAATATTTGCAATAGGCCAGATTTTTAATTGGTAGTAACAGGATGTAGCAGTCGATAAAGTGAACTTAATGCTATAAATGACCACAAAATTTTTTCGCCTTTCCGACATTCAGTCGTGCGAAAAATGACGTGACCACCTGCAAAGCCTTAGAAGTTTGTTTTTCTTGCGTATAATTATTTACAATCAGATGGAGAAGTACAGTTGTTTTCTTTTTGCTCCTTATTACATCTGTGTCTTTAATTACAAAAAAATATACTTTCTATGTTTATTTTTACCGAAACATGCGTTATTTTGACATAATTATTTTAAGTGGTTGGCAGTAATTACTGACGTCTCACACTTCCGCTTGCAAGCGGTCACGAGATATTTCCTTATGAAAGTCGACGACGCGTGCGCGAATTGCTTATTACCAGTAAAGATTAATGAAAATTGTCGATTGCGTAATATGATGATTAACTTCTGAAATTATGATTCACGAAACGCTCACTTACCGTATCCTTCACCCTGAAGAAACAATCGGAATGCCTCGCTTACTTTACCCGGTTGTTCTTCCAATACCATACCGCAATCCGATATCTAAAACATACAATTATTTTTTGAAATATATTCAAAATAAAACTAAAGTCCTTAATTTAATAAAAGTCACAGATTTAATTACTACATTTACCATATTTTATGATTTACGATTATAATTTCAAATCACAAAATATGAATTTAATCATGCATAAAATATGTTCATCTATTTTGCTCGATAATGATGATTATCATATATATGTTACTATATATTAAATACCTATTATATTCTGATTATGTACGTGCAAAAAATTCAATATAGTTAAATTTTTTTTAAATTTTATCTTTTATTAAAAAAAAAAATAAAGTGTAACTTATTTATATTTTTAATTAATTTTATTTCTTTATCCGAGTATCATCTAAGATATTAATACATTTTAATATATATTTGGAAATATTATAATTAAGAAACTTACTTTCATCCAGGAGCTATTTGTTGGATCCAAACGCCCATTTAACGTTACGGTATCGTCAACATGAGGACTTAAAGCACCAGTAATATTCATTACTGGTACACTAAGTGTCAATCCCTCCTTCTTGCGTGTCGGATCCAATTCCCTTGTTATATTCAAATCCGTGCGACGAACATAACTGTCGATAAATAAAGCGAGATTCGTTGGATTTACGCGACGTTCAAAGTAGTTCTTGTACACCTGAACCAGATCATGATTCCGTTCTTCGGTCCCCTATGTATAAAATTATATCGATTTTTATACACGTTACAGATTGGTTGTG